GAAAGGGGGCGGGGCTTTGGCGGCCCTGAGGGGGAGAGGGGGCGTGGCGCGGCTTGGCGGTGCCGCAGAGCCCTGGCTCCTCCCCATGGTGGGCGGGGCCTTTTTACCTGCTGGCCTTTTTCACCCTCGCGGCTACGCCTCTCCCATCACACACACACGGAAGGGGGCGTGGCTCTGCCTCGTGGGTGGGCTGCCAGCTGCCAAAGGGGCGTGGCTTGTCACCCTTGGGTTTGTGGCGTTGGGAAGGGGACCGCCAGGGTCATCTAGTCTGACCCCACCCCACCCCCCGCGATGCAAGGATGATTATTATTATTTCCGTACCTTTCCGAGCACAATTAGTATGGACTGTCTCACCAGAACGATGCATGCTCTGGTTATCTCCCGCTTGGACTACTGCCATGCGCTCTACGTGGGGCTACCTTTGAAGGTGACCCGGAAACTACAACTAATCCAGAATGCGGCAGCTAGACTGGGGACCGGGAGCGGCCGCCGAGACCATATAGCTCCGGTCCTGAAAGACCTACATTGACTCTCAGGATGTTTCCGAGCACAATTCAAAGTGTTGGTGCTGACCTTTAAAGCCCTAAACGGCCTCAGTCCAGTATACCTGAAGGAGCATCTCCACCCCCATCATTCTGCCCGGATGCCGAGATCCAGCGCCGAGGGCCTTCTGGCGGTTCCCTCATTGCGAGAAGCAAAGCTACAGGGAACCAGGCAGAGGGCCTTATCGGTGGCGGCGCCCGCCCTGTGGAACGCCCTCCCACCAGATGTCAAAGAGAAAAATAACTACCAAACTTTTAGAAGACATCTGAAGGCAGCCCTGTTTAGGGAAGCTTTTAATGTTTAATAGGTTATTGTATTTTAGTGTTTTGTTGGAAGCCGCCCAGAGTGGCTGGGGAAACCCAGCCAGATGGGCGGGGTATAAATAATAAATTATTATTATTATTTTCCCAACAGTATAGCTCCCTCCTCCAGTTACCGAAATGGGGAGGGAACAGGCCCCTCTCCTCCAGAGTATGGAAAGAGGAGCTGCCACGATCCAGGAAGGGGGTGTGGCTTTGCTCCATCCAAAGGCTGGGAACCCCCCCCCCCAAAAAAGGAGTAAGGACTGGAATGCTTGGGGGAGATGAGTGGCTCATCCTTCTTCCAAGCCCATATCTGAGGGAGTGGAGTTTGGTTCTGCTGCCCAAAGGCACAGTTGTGTTTTGTGGACCTCCATTGTTCTGTTCTTTGCTCACCCCTCCATTCTATTAGCTGGGAAAAGAGGTGTTTCCACTCTTGGAAGTGGGTGTGTCTCCCTGAAAAGGGGAGGAGCTTGCGACTCAAAATTAGGGTAAGTGAGAGAGACTTGGGGGAGTTTTGAGTTCTTGGAGCCCGACCCTTTCTCAGTGGGGGTGGAGGATGGTTGGAGAAGGAGGGCAGACAGCTGCCCCCTCCCCTTTCATGTACAGACGCTTCGTGTTGTGCGATTTCGGGTTGCGCACCGAACCTGGAAGTACCGGAACAGGTTACTTCCGGGTTTCAGTGCTTGCGTATGTGCCGAAGCGCTAAATTGTGCTTTGCGCATGCACCGAAATACCAAATCGCAACCCGCGCGTGCACAGACGTGGCGCGGCAGGTTGCGAACATGCTTCCTGCACGGATCACATTCACAACCTGAGCATCCACTGTACATGTAAATATATCTCTGTGTGTATATACACTAGCACGTACACCCCAAAAATAAGATGAGGAAAGAGAGCTTTGCTTGCATGTATTGTCTTGTTGCAGTCTAGGCAGCAGCTTTGTAAAGTAGACCCAGTAGTATTGTTTTCATATTTCTCATGGTTGCCTAAGGCATGGCTGGCCTAACCCTGCCTCTTTTTGAGTTCATGGCAGAAGACAGTGTTCAAACAAGGAGCTTCACAGCTTTTACTCATACCATTCCCACTAGGCCTGCGTGCACATGTTGCGCAGATAGGCCTTTGCTGATAATGTGCACCCACCTCCTGTCTACATAGCTGATTATATACTGGATCACCATTAATTTGTATCAGTATATATCTGGCTATAAGAACAGCTTTGTGTATTTGAAATGCAGTTATTTACATAGCAACTACTGTATGTGTCATATATGTATATATTCAGCAAGAATGGGCACGTGTGTCTGTATACACACTTTATATTTTATGTTTTTTGAATATCTTTAAATTTTCAGATCAACAAACACAGGCTGCATGGGCAGCACGTTCCACACACACGCTGAAATATGCATTATATTGAATACACATTATATAAACACACAAGCACATACAGCTGGCTACATGTGAATACTTCTGTGTTCATGTAAGCCTGTATCTAATTTTTCTAAAACGTTTTGTAGCATGTAGCAAGGGGTACGTGATGTTTATATAAATGTATATTTGATACAGTTTGCATATTGGATGTAAGATAAGGAGGCAGACTTACTCTTGTTGGCTATCAATGAACTGGTTCCTACATGACTGTTCCACCGCTTGATATCTTAACTGTGAAGTAGTCATTACAGTTCTAACACCAGAGGCCCATTTTTCATATCTCCTCGAAGGCTGTGTGTGTCAGCACTTCCCAGACATAGAGGTCTGATTCATTCTTGATTTCTTGCCTCCTGAATGACTACACTTGATCACTGGTAGCTGAAAGGTGAACAGACTCCACTGCAAAGCCCTGTGTTTTGAGGAGATGCGCGGAATTCTTCTTGCAATGTTTTATCTGCAATAGCCCATCCACACATGCAAGTTACTTGTGGATATTTCAGTTACCAAACAATAGCCATGTCTGTGTCACCTAGAGCGGTTCTCAAACTCTGGTCTGCGGCCCACAGATTTCATTCATGTGGTCTGTGGCGTTTCTGCAATAAATCATATTGATTTTAGCTGCAGTTTTATTGCTTGTATTGTATTCTATTGCATTACAGTTTGCATTTTGTAGAATTCAACTCGTAATACCATAAAAACAAAAGAAACAATTAGAAATATAATTAAAAATCATGCAGCACATTGTAATTGCTACAGTAGGAAAGAAAAACATTAAGTGATTCGCCAAGACCCCCAGCAGTTTTCAAGTGGTCCATGGCGAGTAAAGGTTTGGGAACAACTGCCGTAAAGGCAACCAGGACTCTGTTTGCACTCTTCAAATAATGTTCATATTTATGTACATTTATGTGACCTCTCTAAAACACACACTGATGTTCTGGATGCATCACTGCACATATACATGGATCCATTGGTAAATACATTTTTTGTTCTGGCACAAGCACGAAAGGAGAGTCTCTCTGCCTTTCTTCTGTTCCTGGAGAAACATGAGGACTCTCTGTGATGCCAGGCCAACTTCAGAAGTTTCAAAGAGGGAAGTAATCCAAGGACTGTCCCTGATGTTGTGTTGAACATGGAAGATGCTTGGGAAAGCCGTGAGAAAGCTTCCTGCTGAATATATGAAGCTTAGCTGCCTTGGGGGTTAGTTCCCATTCCTATCCTCGGCTGTGGAGGAAGGCAAGGGGCTCTCACACACACTTGGGCTCGCCCTTGAGCTCATATCATTTCAGAAGACTCTTATTCCCTTTAAAGGGAGCATCTTGACAACAGCAGGTTACCAAGGGGAGCCCAGATTTGTTGACACCTGCACAAATATTAGCCCTTTCATTCTCAGGGACTTGTATTTCAGCAATACAATTAAAGGGAAGACCAACCTGTACCCTTCCTTCTTACATTTTGGGCTTTCCTTACTAGGAAGCGACCCAGGTTCACTTCCCTGCTCTGCCACAGACCTTGCTGGGTGCTTGTGTTTCGGTTGAGGGTGCTCAGCATGACTGATACGGAAGCAGGACAACACTCGAGCACAATAGGATGTTGAGTGAGAGGTCTGCACTATGAAGCCAGTAACAGGAGAGAGGAAGTCTTCTGAAAGTAAAATAAATATGTCAGTGCCTCATGTTTTGCCATCATGTGTGTCCACCTTAATGCCCCCAAAGTATCTATGCACAGCAAGATGCGCGTGTTTCAGGTGCATGTCCATAGCTGTCAACCTTCCCTTTTTTTGTGGGAAATTCCCTTATTCCAGTGCTGCTTCCCGCTGCTATCCCGGATTGTTAGATATCGTCTAGACTGTCCCCGGGACAGGTGAGGCTGCTGATCCCTTATTTTCGAGGCTGCCGATCCCTTATTTTCAAATCTGAAAGTTGACAGCTATGTGCATGTCCAGCTTGTGCCCCTGTCCAATGCTGCTCTTTTGACTACTTGCAGTGGGAGCTCAAGGGACCTGTTCTTTTTGGGGGGAGAGGAGTTGCTGGCTAGTTCCAAACATGCACCACCTTTGGATATGCACCTTATCCATATCTGCATTCAATCACAGAATTGGTGGGTGACTTTCAGACCATCTAATTCAGGCGTAGGACACCCTTGGTCCTCAGGATGTTGCTAAGCTATAACGCCTGTCAGCCCCAGCCGCCTTAACCAATAGCCAGGGATGACGGAACTGGCTGTTCAGCAACATACTGAGGGTCAAAGGTTTCGCAGACGTGACCAAGTCCGGCCTCTTGCATCCCCCAAAGGTGCAGCTTCCACTGGAAGACCTCCATTAAGGCCAATGGTCCTCTTGTCAAACTCTTTCCATCAAGAAGCTCCTACTGTTCAACCGAACTCTGTTCTCCTGTAACTTCCACCCGTTTGATCTAGTCCTGTGCTCTGAGGCAGCATTCAACCTTTCGCCACGAGGCATACCGTATCAGGGGTACCGTATTCTTGTCGCTGCTGCTTCGACTTTGACATTCCTAGATGTTGCCTGTCTCCTTCCTCATTCCGTAACTCCCTTTGCCTCCCTAGTGCACGGTCCAGGTGAAGTTGGAGCTGGGGCACCGCGCCCAGCTACGGAAGAAGCCCACCACCGAGGGGTTCACCCATGACTGGATGGTGTTTGTGCGAGGCCCAGAACAATTCGAGATCCAGCACTTTGTGGAGAGGGTGGTCTTCCGGTTGCATCAGAGCTTCCCTAAACCGAAACGTGGTGAGTTCATGTGTGTGTGTGCCGTATTTTTCGCTCTATAAGACGCACCAGACCACAAGACGCACCTAGTTTTTGGAGGAGGAAAACAAGAAAACAAATATTCTGAATCTCAGAAGCCAGAACAGCAAGAGGGATCGCTGTGCAGTGAAGGCAGCAATCCCTCTTGCTGTTCTGGCTTCTGGGATAGCTGCGCAGCCTGCACTCGCTCCATAGGACGCACACACATTTCCCCTTACTTTTTAGGAGGGGAAAAGTGAGTCTAATAGAGCAAAAAAATACGGTAGCTTTCTCTGTAGGTGTGTTCTGCCATACTTCAAAGCACACAAGCGCTCCCATTGGGGACAGAGTACACTTGCAAGCCCTGCCCTCATCCCCCCCAATACCCCACTGCTAACACCAAGATATGCTCAGTCCCTGACAACCTCCATGTTGAATGGAATCTGCCAGGGGCTTCTCCTTGTGTTTGCTTGAACACAACCAAAATTCCTCTTGTTGTTGGGGAATCCTCAACCACAGAACAGTGAAGGGTACCCTGCTCTTCATCAGTAGAAACCCCCTGTAGACCTTCCCCAGTCAGCACAGGGGTTGTTGTCGGCTGTTCATGGGAGTGCCTTGGGGTGCGTGGCTTGCTTGAGAATTCCTGCACCACCCATCCACATATGCAGGGTTGGATCCAGCGCTGGTCGTACTCAGAGTAAGTCTATTGAAAGGATGTACATGGCCTGTTTGGGTCCATTCATTTCAGTGACTGTGCTCCGAGTAGGATTTAGCTAGATTTAGCAGCCCACAGAATTCACAGGTTTTGACAAACGCCTGAACTCTCGGCGAGCTAGAAGTACCTGCAGGCCAGAAGTGAATGGCTCCCTTCTCACTGCAGTCCTGCTCCTTGAGTGAGAAGAATTGTTGGCCTAACACATGGGTAGGCAAACGAAGGCCCGGGGGCTGGATCCAGCCCAATCACCTTCTAAATCCAGCCCACGGATGGTCCGGGAATCAGCGTATTTTTACATGGGTAGAATGTGTGCTTTTATTGAAAATGCATCTCTGGGTTATTTGTGGGGCATAGGAATTCGTTCATTTATTTTTTCAAAATATAGTCCGGCCCCCCCACAAGGTCTGAGGGACAGTGGACCGGCCCCCTCCTGAAAAAGTTTGCTGACCCCTGGCCCAACACAAGGACGCTATGCTTGATCCGTTATCATCATCTCCATATTGAACTGTGAGAGACCCCTGTCTGAAACCCTGGAGAGCCGCTGCCGGCCCGTGTAGACAGTACTGAACTAGGTGGGCCAGAGGTCCAACAAGATACCAAGGTCCAAGGCAGCTTCCTATGTTCCTGTAATAGGTTATTGTTTTCAATAGTGTATCACTCTGGAGTGTTTCACAAACATGATCTTGTGATCCTTACAACAGACCTGTAATTGCTGTCTGTATTGCTATCCCCATTCTCTAGGTAGGTGTGGAGATGCTCAGATTGGCAAAGAAAGAGAAGCTTGCCTAAGGCTACATAGCATAGAAGCTAGCCAACCTGTATGTTTCTTCTGCGATCCAACAGCCCTGAAGTTTTAATAACTTAATTTCTGCTTTTCTTCTCAGTTTGCAAAGAACCTCCTTATAAAGTGGAGGAGTCTGGCTATGCTGGCTTCATTATGCCCATTGAAGTCCACTTCAAAAACAAGGTATCATTTCAATCTCTCCTCCTTGCCGCCCCCGGGCTCCCTTCTTGCGTTCCCTTAAAACACACGGCAAACTCAGCGGGCTGGCCAGCCCCTACAGCAATGTAGCTGAACCGCATTGGCCCAACCCAAGTTTTTATCCAGGTCCAGTTATCATTTAACCTGCTCGTTTTGAAGCAATGAGACGGTTTGTGCATTTCATGCACATTTTCATGCGTTGATCTATCATGGGATCTCCAGATAAGCAAAGGACCTTGATGATCTGCCTCTTTTCTCCTTGTCTTTCACATCTCTGCATCTCTTTGTGGGGAGGTCTCCAGTGTGCTGCTCACGGGCATGACAGCAACTTCAGACACCTCCCAAGACACCCTTCCAAATTCTTTTTTTTTTAAATTAAATTAGTTTTTGTTGATGGGAGTGTTCGGTTTTTTCTGTTTGTTTCATTTCTTAAACAAATGTATCAATCACTTTGCAGCATAGAGCCACTGAAGCGATGTGCCGTGTAACTTAAGTGTTGGTATTTTGACTTTGTTGGGGCTGTTTTTCTTCTGCTAAATAGATATTCTGCTGTGCCCACAACAGATTATTAGAATTCCAAATGTGTCCCGGGCCCAAAAAAGTTGGGATCCCTGCCTTGGTATTCAGATTTTAAAACAGGCATCCCCAAACTCAGCCCTCCAGATGTTTTGGGGCTACAACTCCCATCATCCCTAGCTAACAGGACCAGTGGTCAGGGATGATGGGAATTGTAGTCCCAAAACATCTGGAGGGCTGAGTTTGGGGGTGCCTGTTTTAAAAGCAGGTAGAACAGTATATAGATTGTGTTGGCCCCAAAGCAGCACCCTAGAATATGTAACCTTCCTCTGACTTTGGTTGGTACCTGATCTTTGCACCGTTATCCATGATGAGATAAAAGTCCAGGACCGATTGCTGTGAGGGCTGCCCCTAATGCCCATCTGGAAAATATTTCGGCTCAGAGTACTGCAGTCAGGCTGCTAACTGGAACCTGCTGAATGGAGCTGTGTTCTTGCCAGTCCTCCAGGATCCTCCCTGCCCACCTCTGTGCCTGGAAGGTGCACTTCAGAGTGCACATTTTGACCTACGCAGCCAAAAGCTTTTGGGCCCGGGATAGGTTGTTCCCATACAAGCCTGTTTGAAGTTTCAGCTGGGTTGCCCTCTATGTCTGCTGTGTTTTGTTCTGCGTTTGTTGCCTATCTTCCTAGTGTGTTTCAGTATTGTTCTAAGCCATGGCAGGGACCGGGGCAAAAAGAGAGCCATGTCTGAATGTCGGTACAGTGGTGCCCCGCAAGATGAATGCCTCGCAAGACGGAAAACCCGCTAGACGAAAGGGTTTTCCGTTTTGGAGGTGCTTCGCAAAACGAATTTCCTATGGGCTTGCTTCGCAAGACGAAAATGTTCCTGCGGGGTTTTTTTCCTTTTCCCCCCCTTTTTCCCAAGCCGCTAAGCCGCTTATCAGCTGATCCGTTAAGCCGCTAAGCCGCTTATCAGCTGATCCGCTAAGCCGCTAATAGCGCTAAACCGCTAATGGGCTTGCTTCGCAAGACGAAAAAACCGCAAGACGAAGAGACTCGCGGAATGGATTCTTTTCGTCTTGCGAGGCACCACTGTATAGCAATAAGTAACCAAACAAACCCCTGTGTTGCAAAGAGAACGTCAGCAATGTCTAGGCAACACGATGGCCATGTACATACGCAATAGACAATCTTTATAGAATTCCTTTAAACCATAACAAGTACAAAATAATCTTTAGTCTCAAAGTCTCTGAAAATCTTTACATGAAGTGAGGCACCAGACTTTGCACGATGAAAGACAAGCTGTGAAGCTTTGTGTGTTCAGCAAATATGATGTCCAACAGTAAGCAGTGACTACATTATTACACGAGCACTGTTCCACAGCATTTGATATTTTCATTTACGTACATTCATTCCAAATAAGATGGGTTTATGAAGCAATTCTATATCTTCCCACCACGGTGACAAAGAATTCTACGAAACAGTAGTCAGTATCCAGAATCACTGTTCAGTGTTGGACATCATATTTGCTGAATACACAAAGCTTCACAGCTTGTCTTTCATCGTACAAAGTTTGGTAAAAGGTAAAGGGACCCCTGACCATTAGGTCCAGTCGTGGCCGACTCTGGGGTTGCGGCGCTCATCTCGCTTTATTGGCCGAGGGAGCCGGCGCTTGTCCGCAGACAGCTTCCGGGTCATGTGGCCAGCATGACTAAGCCGCTTCTGGCGAACCAGAGCAGCACATGGAAACACCGTTTACCTTCCCGCTGGAGCGGTACCTATTTATCTACTTGCACTTTGTGCTTTTGAACTGCTAGGTTGGCAGGAGCTGGGACCGAACAATGGGAGCTCACCCCGTCGCAGGGATTTGAACTGCCGACCTTCTGATCGGCAAGGCCTAGGCTCTGTGGTTTAACCCACAGCGCCACCTGCGTCCCACAAAGTTTGGTACCTCACTTCATTTAAAGATTTTCAGAGACTTTGAGACTAAAGATTATTTTGTACTTGTTATGGTTTGAAGGAATTCTATAAAGATGTGGTCTGTTGCGTATGTACATGGTCATCGTGTTGCCTAGACATTGCTGAATGTCTGTGTAGGCAACCCTGAGCTAGAAGTGCCAAAAGCCTGACTCAATATAAGGCATCTCCCTGCATTCGTATATATAGTTGTTAAAACCCCTTCATGAGGCTTTTCCTCCTTTGCTTTCAGGAGGAACCGAAGAAAGTTTGCTTCACCTACGATCTTTTCTTGAACCTGGAGGGGAATCCGCCCGTCAACCACCTGCGCTGTGAGAAGCTGACCTTCAACAACCCCACGAAGGAATTCCGCCGAAAACTAATCAGGGCTGGTGGGGTGAGTAGCCAAGACAGATGCACCCTGGTCTTTGCATGCTCAGTGTCATGACTGTTTGCTGTTCTTTGGATCGATCTAGCCAAAAGCTCATAGCGGAATGGGTTTTGTGAAGTGCTGTTACGCTTTTTTGTTTCTAGGCTGGGAAACAGGGTGAGGGTGATAGAGGTTTGTTGTGTGGTGCAGAGAAAATGACTGAATAATATGATAAAATGACTGGAAAATATGAAGAACAGAGGTTCTGACGAACGGATTATTAAAAACGTGTGAGGTAAACGGTGGAAGTCTTTTTTTTAAAAAAAAACCTATTTAAGGTAGGTAAGGACAAGATGAAATTATACAATTGAATATAAATATAGATGGGAAACGGCTATGTATTGTGAGTACTTACCTACTTTAAAAATTTTTCACTTACGATCTTTTTCTTTTACTTCTTTATTCTTTCTTTGTTCTTTTTTTTCTTTTTTCTGATATCTTTCATTTCACTGCTTTATTGTGAATAGCATTCTATAGAGGTATAAATAACTGTAAATATGATAAGAGACAAAATATTCTCTAATTCTTTTTCCTTGGTTAGATGTATTTTCTTTTTATTTTGTATTTTCTTTTGTTCTGAATATGTATGTTTTCTAATTTGTACTCAATAAAAATATTATTTTTTTAAAAAAGAAAATGACCGGATAGGGGATTTCTGGAATTTGCTGGCACAAAGGTGTGGAACAGCATTAATATCCAAGTTGTCTCTCCTTAGGTGGTGGTCATGCCAGAAGGTGCCGAAACAGTGTCCAGGCCAAGTCCTGACTACCCCATGTTACCCACAATACCGCTCTCTGCCTTCTCTGATCCGAAAAAGACCAAACCACCCCATGGGTCAAAGGTGAGTCGCTTGGGAAGAGTGTGGGAATGTCCTTCCAAAATGATGAAGTCTAGAATCTTTCGTCGTTCCCATTCTGCAGAGACGCTAAAGCCCTCCAAAGAGGCATAGAATTATGTGCACGCTATATATACTGTATTTTTTGCTCTATAAAACTCACTTTTCCCCTCCTAAAAAGTAAGGGGAAATGTGTGTGCGTCTTATGGAGCGAATGCAGGCTGCGCAGCTATCCCAGAAGCCAGAAGAGCAAGAGGGATTGCTGCTTTCGCTGCACAGCGATCCCTCTTGCTGTTCTGGCTTCTGAGATTCAGAATTTTTTTTCCCCTTGTTTTCCTCCTCCAAAAACTAAAAATACGGTATTCCCTTTGGCTTCAGTATTGTATTATGGTTGAGTTGAACTAATGGCTGGAAATCACAGAGAATTGGGTCTCAGGTAAACTAAGCAAACCTCCACTAGTCAAGGCCATTCAAGAGTGGGCCAGGCTGCTTTAGGAGGTGGTGGGCTCTCCCATCACTGGAGGCGTTGAAGTAAAGACTGGGCAGTCATCTGTCAGGGATGCAGTAGTAGCTGGTTGGACTTACAACTTCTAATTATTTGATACGTTGCATCTGTAGCAGAGAACAGAAGTAGGGGAAAGATACCCTAGGCCAGAGGAGAGCCTAGGTGATCCTGCACTTGCGATCGTTATTGCAGAATCCTCAATCTTCGCATTGGTATAAATTGGAAAGAATATGAAGAGTCTGCTTTAATAGCACTGATTGCAAATACACAAGGGGCGGGTAACTGACCTGTATTAATTATTCTTGAATAACTGTTTGAGGCTGTCCTGAAGCAAGCAGAGCACAAGTCAGGGATTGGAAAACTGTGCCTTGCCTGTGAGACTTAAGCTTGCTTCATTAACGTCCTATACAATCAAGGCTACAGCACCTCTGACGCACATTTCTTGGTCTGTGGTCCAGTGAAGCCGCAGAGATGATTTCTGAGAATGTGTAGTGAAAAGGGGGATCCCGCTGGAACTTGTGAGTTGCCCAACTAGGAAAATGTGGGGTGCAAGTACTGTTTTGGACCAGTGTAAATCTATGGAGGAAGGAGGGGCCTTCCTGGATGAATGGGGGTTGCAGCCCCTTTTATTTCTTTGTTCCATTGTTTTATTTTCTGCTAGTTTCTGTCTGTTTACCATTTTGCTTTCTTCTGAATTTGAAAGAACACGGCCATAGTGAGATACGACTTACCGTATTTTCCGCTGTATAAGACGCACTTTTCCCCTCTTAAAAAGTAAGAGGAAATGTGTGTGCGTCTTATGGAGCGAATTGCAGGCTGCGCAGCTATCACTGAAGCCAGAACAGCAAGAGGGAGAGCTGCGCAGCGAAAGCAGCGATCCCTCTTGCTGTTCTGACTTCTGGGACAGCCGCTCGAAGCCTCTTCAGGGCAACAGGAGGAACGCTTCGCTTCACTGGAGAGGCGCTGCGCAGAGAGGGAAAGCTGCACAGCGCCCCTTCAGCGAAGCGGGAGGAGAAATGGAGCCCCTTCCGTTTCTCCTTCCGCTTTGCTGGAGAAGCGCTGCACAGATTCAGAATATTTTTTTTCTTGTTTTCCTCTAAAACTAGGTGCGTCTTATGGTCAGGTGCGTCTTATAGAGCGAAAAATACGGTAACTGATTATCTGAATGCTTCCTGCATGGTGGCTTTCCCTTTGGAGGAAGATTCCATTTTCTCTGCAGAACCCAATCCTTTCTTACAGGACGGGATAATTAAAGTTTGCTGGTCTTTTCATTTCTCCACCGGTGCTTAGGAGGCCAACAAAGATGGCAGCAAAGCTTCCAAGCCACACAAGGTCACCCGAGAGCATCGCGAGAGGCCCAGGAAAGACTCGGAGAGCAAAAACTCCTCCAGAGACCTTGAAAGGGAGCCGGGTAAACCTGTGAAGGACTCCTCCAGGAAACCCACTGAGAACAAGGTGCCCAAAGAGGAGAAGACCCTCCCGAAAGCTGCTTTCAAGGAGCCCAAGCTGGCTCTCAAGGAGCCCAAGCTGGAGAACACGTCGCCAAAGGGTGGTCCTCCACCGCCAGACATGAAGCCTTCCAGCAAAAGGCCCTCTACGGTGGAGTCTCCAAAACCCAGCGCTAAGAAGCCGAAGAAGAGCAGCTCCAAAGGAGCCAAGACCGTCCCAGCAACGTCCCCTCGGACTTCGTCTTACGCCGAGAAGAAGCCAGCCAAGGAGAAGCCAAGCGCCAAAGTGGAGAAGATGAAAACGGAGACGGAAACGAAGGCGATCAAAAAACCCATGGAGGTGGCAGTGGCAGAGGACTCCAATTCCGAGGATGAAGCTTCCCTGAAGTCAGAGGTGAGGGGACTGTTCTCTTCCCTGCAAGGCCAGGCAGGTCTGCACTGTATGGTGTCTACTGAGTGTAGTCTGCTCTAGTCTGCTGACATTTCTTCTTAGGATTCGTAAAGGCTTTTCAGAATGCAGGGAAACCCTAGAGGTGAGGTACAACGGTGGTTTCCCTCACTACCATCCTAAAATACTTAAGAAATGGCCAGTTTCCCCCCTCTAAGATTCCAGCCTGAGAGGGCTCCTGGGGAGCTGAATGGTTTTTCAAATCTTTTTCTTTAACCGTATTTAAAAACAAAAATGGTTAAGCCACTCTTTTCTCCAGTGTGCTCAGGACATGCATAAATAAATAATGTTTTTATTATTCCTGTGCAGACCATCTGACTGCTTGCCCCAGCCGCTCAACAAATATTAAAAATGCAATGAAACTTAGGACATTAAAAACTTAATTGCAGCCACTGCATTGGCTGTCCCAGGCAGCCCAAGCACTGACTAGACCAGAGGTCGGCAAGGTTTACCTCGCCTGGGCCGGTTCACTCCAGCGGAGAGCCCTCGGTGGACCACGATTTCTGGCATCCTAGTCTGTGCAGACGCGATTTCCAGCACCGCAGAAGCGAGCCCCCGTGGCGCACTGCGCCGGTTTAGCGCAGCGGGCGGGGACTTGCCGAGCGGGCAGCTCAGTTGGGGGGTGGCTCGTGGGCTGGTTAAACGACCCCCGTGGGCCACTTTTGGCCCATGGGCCTTAGATTACTGACCCTTGGGCTAGACCCTGGTCACTTTAGCTTGTAACCTGCCCTGGGACCTCAGGGTGAAGGCTGGGTAATAAATTGTGATTGTTAGTAGTGGTCCATAGTGCCACCCCATACTCTCCATCATTCTTACAACATGTTCCAGAACTGGGTCATGGAAGAAGGTCTGGCGTTCCACCCTAGGAAACCTTGGCTCCAGTCAAACCACCCGCACACCACCCTCGGGCTCAAGGTGGATTTGATATAAATTACAATGGTACCTCTGGTTACGTACTTAATTCGTTCTGGAGGTCCGTTCTTAACCTGAAACTGTTCTTAACCTGAAGCATCACTTTAGCTAATGGGGCCTCCCACTGCTGCCATGCCGCTGCCACGCAATTTCTGTTCTCATCCTGAAGCAAAGTTCTTAACCCGAGGTACTATTTCTGGGTTGGCGGAGTCTGTAACCTGAAGCATCTGTAACCCGAGGTACCACTGTAATCAATTTAAATCACTAGTCAGTAAGACTTGATTTACATCTTCTTTTTACAAAAAGACTCCTTCTTGCTGGTATAATCTTACTATTTAAAGGTAAAGGTAAAGGGACCCCTGACCATCAGGTCCAGTCGTGGCCGACTCTGGGGTTGCGGCGCTCATCTCGCTTTACTGGCCGAGGGAGCCGGCGTACAGCTTCCGGATCATGTGGCCAGCATGACTAAGCCGCTTCTGGCAAACCAGAGCAGCGCACAGAAACGCCGTTTACCTTCCCACCGCAGCGGTACCTATTTATCTACTTGCACTTTGACGTGCTTTCGAACTGCTAGGTTGGCAGGAGCAGGGACCAAGCAACAGGAGCTCACCCCGTCGCGGGGATTCGAACGACCGACCTTTTGATCGGCAAGTCCTAGGCTCTGTGGTTTAACCAACAACGCCACCCGCGTCCCTTAATCTTACTATTTACAACCAGACAAAGGTTTCATTTTTGGAATAATAAAATTTCAGAGTAGCTTTTACAGTTATATTAAAAAAATACTGATTTGGTTATAATATTAGAAATACTATATTATTATTGTGAGGTTTTATAAGTTAACTGTTTATATTTGGACAGCTTTCCTGCTGTACTTTATTGGAAGGAGAAAAACAATCATTTCCTTAGTAACAATTTAAACTATCTATTTAACTAAAAACTGTAACATTGTAGCATTTGTATCCCTGTTTGTTAACTGATGTGGTTAAACCATTTTTTTTAAAAAAAAGACTGGGTTTTAGCACACATGAAAAACTTGAAACAAATCCTTATTTCCTGATGAATAGCCTTTGGACTATAATGTAACTTAAATTGAACACTATCTTTAGAAAGATATTTTTTTCCTCCAAAAGCATTTTATTTTAAAAATCCACTTTAAATAAAAAAAAAATCCGATTTAAATTTTTAAAAATACTTTTTTATTATTTTTCATTGAATTTTCTCCACCCTACTCTGGCTCTTACACCTTAAGTCACCCTTGAACAAAAAAGGAAAGGAAGATAGGAATGCTTCCAAAGTAAGGAAATGGCAAGATGAATAAAGAAAAAAGAGTACGAGGAGGACAACCTGACAGGGTTGGGGAGAAAAAACTTATTAGCAATGAAAGTTAGGATGCATCAAATGCCATGTACTGAGAGCAGGGGTCAGCAAACTTTTTCAGCAGTGGGCCGGTCCACTGTCCCTCAGACCTTGGGGAGGGGCTGCACTATATTTTTGGAGGGGGGGATGAATGAATTCCTATGCCCCACAAATAACCCAGAGATGCATTTTAAATAAAAGCACACATTCTACTCCTGTAAAAACATGCTGATTCCTGGTCTATCCACGGGCTGGGTTTAGAAGGCGATTGGGCCAGATCCGGCCCCCGGACCTTACTTTGCCTACCCATGACTGAGAGTATCACAGCTCAAAGAGACTCGGAAGTCTTGCCACACAGAGATGCTAGGTATCAGGTGTACCCAAGCCTTTGGCTAATAAAGCAATCCGTGGCCTTTTAAAGTGGGGTTGGGTGGGTATTGTTTCTGTTTGCTACTGTGCTTTGTATTTTTGTGTTTTTATACTGTAAATTGCCCTGTGATCTTCAGATGAAGGGCAGTATAGAAGGTAAAGGGACCCCTGACCATTAGGTCCAGTTGTGGCCGACTCTGGGGCTGCGGCACTCATCTCACTTTACAGGCCAAGGGAGCCAGCGTACAGCCTCCGGGTCATGTGGCCAGCATGACTAAGCCGCTTCTGGCGAACCAGAGCAGCACACAGAAACACCGTTTACCTTCCTGCCAGAGTGGTGCCTATTTATCTACTTGCACTTTGACGTGCTTTCGAGCTGCTAGGTGGGCAGGAGCAGGGACCGAGCAACGGGAGCTCACCCCGTCGCGGGGATTCGAACCACCGACCTTCTGATCAGCAGGGTTAAACCACAGAGCCTATTACAGCTGTGTCCCACCCCCCCAACAACATGAGGATCCAACTTATCCCTGTCTTTCTTAAGTCCTGAGAAGAAGGTTGACCAGACTTCCAAGTCTGTGATGTAATCCTCTTGGTTACTAAAGGACAAAACTGAAGAACCTTCCATGGGAAATAAAAGAAATGAGGCTGGGCTGGGCTGTCATCTCTCTCTGTCAAAGGGTTGAAATTAATTCTCTCTCTTCCTTCTTCCTTTCTCTGTGCCGACTGAAGTCTGCCCCATCCAGCCCTTCCAACTCCAGCTCCAGCTCCGACTCCAGCTCCGACTCTGATTTCGAGCCATCTCAGAACCACAGCCAAGGTGCGTTGCTGTTTGGAAATCTCACGTGAGTCTTGGTGTCAATTAAGCCTACGATGCCTCCCCCCCCAAGTGTGAGGTTTTTGTTTGTCATACTGGCCCAATACAGTGGTGCCTCGCAAGACGAAAAGAATCCGTTCCGCGAGTCTCTTCGTCTTGCGGGTTTTTTCGGCTTGCGAAGCAAGCCCATTAGCGGTTTAGCGGATTAGTGCTACAGTATTAGCGGCTTAGCCGGCTTAAAGATCAGCTGATAAGCGGCTTAACGATCAGCTGATAAGCAGCTTAACGATCAGCTGATAAGCGGCTTAGCATCAGCTGTTAAGCGGCTTAAAGATCAGCTGATAAGCGGCTTAGCCATCAGCTGATAAGCGGTTTAGCGGCTTGGGAAAAAGGGAACTCGCAAGACATTTTCGTCTTGTGAAGCAAGCACATAGGAAATTCGTTTTGCGAAGCACCTCCAAAACGGAAAACCCTTTCGTCTAGCGGGTTTTCCGTCTTGCGAGGCATTCGTCTTGCGGGGCACCACTGTAATAGCCACCGGTTCATAAAACCCGGCACTCAACACTGTGCTTCCTGAATGCTGGAAGCACTTAGCTAAAGGCACAGTAAAACTTGACAAGGGCTAATGTAAGTCAAGTGACTGAGCTGGAAAATTGGAAGCGTCCAGTTTAGGCCCCCTTAGGTGGTCCAGTGGACCATAAAGAAGGCTGATCGCCGAAGAATGGATGCTTTTGAATTCTGGTGCTGGAGGAGACTCTTGAGAGTCCCATGGACTGCAAGAAGAACAAAATGGCGAACGTTCCTAAACTACAGCATATAGGAAAACGCTGGTTTCAGTCTCCAATCTGGTCTCAAACAAAAGAGGCTGGTTACAGCCATGCGGCTGGAAGGAGCAGCTCAGATTTCATCACACACCAAATTCACGTGTAGGCTTGGGTTGCCCACTTCCTTCCAGAATGAGGGGAAGCAACACAGGCTAAGCTTGGCAAGGCAGTTTTCTCTATGGCATTAACCCCTTCACGCATTGTTGTTGTTTAGTCATTTAGTCGTGTCCGCCTCTTCCTGACCCCCTGGACCAGAGCACGCCAGGCACTCCTGTCTTCCACTGCCTCCCGCAGTTTGGTCAAACTCATGCTGGTAGCTTCGAGTACACTGTCCCACCATCTCGTCTTCTGTGTCCCCTTCTCCTTGTGCCCTCCATCTTTCCCAACATCAGGGTCTTTTCCAGGGAGTCTTCTCTTCTCATGGGGTGGCCAAAGTCTTGGAGTCCCAGCTTCAGGATCTGTCCTTCCAGTGATGCTGGTTATATGCGGCTGGTTACCCTATACTTCCTAGACAGCATCTTAAAAAGCAGAGACATCACCTTGCCAACAAAGGTCCGTATAGTGAAAGCTATGGTTTTCCCAGTAGTGATGTATGGAAGGGAGAGCTGGACCATAAAGAAGGCTGGTCGCCGAAGAATGGATGCTTTTGAATTCTGGTGCTGGAGGAGACTCTTGAGAGTCCCATGGACTGCAAGAAGATCAAACCTCTCCCTTCTGAAGGAAATCAGCCCTGAGTGCTCACTGGAAGGACAGATCCTGAAGCTGAGGCTCCAAGACTTTGGCCACCTCATGAGAAGAGAAGACTCCCTGGAAAAGACCCTGATGTTGGGAAAGATGGAGGGCACAAGGAGAAGGGGACCACAGAGGATGAGATGGTGGGACAGTGTTCTCGAAGCTACCAGCATGAGTTTGACCAAACTGCGGGAGGCAGTGGAAGACAGGAGGGCCTGGCATGCTCTGGTCCAGGGGGTCGCGAGGAGTTGGACACGACCAAACAACAACAGGTGGTCCAGGGCAAGTCATTCTCTCTCAGCCTCAATTGGTGCTGAACTAAATCCACCTACATCAGCCATCTTTTAGCACAACCCTGTGAGGTAGTTCAGCACCAACTGAGGCTGAGAGAGAGTCACTTGCCCTTGGCCACCTAAGGGGGACTAAACTGAGTGCTTCCAGTTTTCCAGGTCAGTCTCTTGACTTACATCAGCCCTTGTCAAGGTTTTCCTGTGCCTTCAGTGAAGTAGCTTCCTTTTTTAAAATACCGCCGCTGTAGAAAGTCGTGCCACTTGGCTAGACATAAACGCGGCAGCCTCACCAGTTCCCTGAAAACCCCAGACAGCTGCTGTCTGCCAGCAGAGACCAGCCTCCTCCAACCCTTTAGGCTCCTGGTGTTTCAGTCAGCATGGCCGGTCATCGAAGAGTTTCAAAAATAACTGCTCGCCTGAGGGAATCTTTAGAAAAGTTGCTGCTTTTTCCACCTCCCTTCGCAAAAAAGGCCATGTTAGGCTGGCAAAAGACTGCCAGGGCAGGAGGAACTGATTTGCAAAGTTAGCCATGGTGTGCTTGACTCGCTTCACCTATATCCTTTCCACCTGGCACAATTTCACCACAATTAGGTGCAGTAATACAGCGGGGGGGGGGAGAGAATATTCTGCTTTGGCCAGATGTTGCAGGTGTCGAGGTCCTCAAATTGTTCATCTCTGGTTACTTGGGAAGCAGATAGTTGCGTGTTCACCCCACCCCTGGTGGGAGCCATAACATGGCTGCTCTTCTGGGTGGGGGGGTTATCAACAAACGGAAGCAAATGTGGGTCTACATCAGAAGCAGCAGTGGTGATAAGTGATAAACTTCTAGCCTTTGAGGCTGTAAAGGTGATAGTCCTGACTGATAAAAACAAATCGTTAGTATTAATTCTGCCATTTTTTGGTACTAAACGATAATACTTAAGTATTTGTCAGGTGCTTCTCTAAAGTGTTTTACATTATCTTGCTGTAATCCCTACAACAAACTTGCAAGGTAGGTCAGTGTGATCCCCGGATGGTTTGACGGGTGGGGTTTGAGTCTGAGAGAAAAGGTCTTGCCTAAGTCTACCTTTGCCACAAGTCTGTGGCAGATGCAAGATTTGAAATGAGGACTTCCTGAATCACAGCGCCATCTCTCCACTGCTATGTCAAATCACCTCTCTGACATATGTGCTTGCCTCTTGCCTCTTCTTCTCTCTCCCACCCCCCTTAAAAATGAATTCAGGACACAAGCTGACGGATGGGTTAACTGACGTGCAGGTGGGGGCACCCAAGGGAGACGGCAGAGCCATGTGATCACCAGTCTTGGAGCAGACAGCTTCAAATAGTCAAATGTTTGCAACCTTCTCTCTTCCTGGAATCCTGAAGACAGTCTTCCAAGCTTCTACTGCTTGGGTGGGAGACCTTTGGCTCTCCATATGACTCTAAACTGGGACGTGGGTGGCGCTGTGGGTTAAACCACAGACCCTAGGACTTGCCGATCAGAAGGTCGGCGGTTCGAATCCCCGCGACGGGGTGAGCTCCCGTTGCTCGGTCCCTGCTCCTGCCCACCTAGCAGTTCGAAAGCACGTCAAAGTGCAAGTAGATAAATAGGTACCGCTCCAGCGGGAAGGTAAACGGCGTTTCCGTGTGCTGCTCTGGTTCGCCAGAAGTGGCTTAGTCCTGCTGGCCATATGACCTGTACGTCGGCTCCCTCGGCCAATAAAGCGAGATGAGCGCCGCAACCCCAGAGTCGGCCACGACTGGACCTAATGGTCAGGGGTCCTTTACCTTTATGTCTCTAAACTACAGCTCCCACCAGTCATCTCTGGCCATTGGCCATTCTTGCTAGGACTTGTGGGGGTTGTAGTTGAGTGTCTGGAGAGCTAAAGATTCCCCACTCTTGCTGTACTCGGTTCCTTGTATCACACTTAACTACCACCACCATTGCAGGTGCAACAAACAGAGCAACTGTCCACACGTAAAAGTGCCTCCACAGATGTAAACAAGGTTTATTTATTACAGGCTTCCCAATGGTGTTTAAAACTCTGTGGACAAGTATTTTGGAGGCAGGGAACTTGTTGTTACAGTGGAACCTCGGTTTTCGAGCGTCTCGGAAGCCAAACTTTTCAGTTTCCAAACCCCGAAAACCCGGAAGTAATTGCTTCCATTTTCGAACGCGCCTTGGAAGTCAAATGGCTTCCGAAGCGCGTTTCTCAATTTTCTCCATTGAAATTGCCTACCGTCCATTGCGCCTCAATCGTTGAATGTTTCAGAAGCTGAATCATCTTCCGGAACGGATTACGTTCAACAACCGAGGTTCCACAGTAGAAGGTTTCTAAACCCGTTTCTTTTTGTTCTGAAATGTCTGATGGTAACACAGTGATTTTGCTGTCAAACCGGAGAGATGGGAGGGGGACTTGGGAGAGTCGCAAAATGTCTGCTTGCCTGTGGGGCAGACCCAAACCACCAGTGGCCCTCTATGCTGTATGAATGCCCCTTTTCCTCCGAATTGTGTCCCGTGGCTCAACAGCCACCCTGTTTACTGTTCTAGACAGGAAGAACAACGAGCTAAACAGGCCTTGTGGTGGGCCACTCTCCCTGTTGCAATCAGGCTGTGTTTGGCTTGGGGAGCCCTCAAACTGTGCCACCCTGTGTACAGGCTGGCCCAGTGGGAACTGAAAAGAGCCCAAATGGACAGTGCCTGGTAAGCAGCCCGCTTAGTGTTGAACCTTAGTTTCCCTGTCCTGTGCCCATTTTTAAACTGGCTTTCCTGGCTTCTGAACCCCAGGGCCTCTACGCTCCATGGTCGAGGACTTGCAGTCAGAAGAGTCTGACGATGATGACAGTTCTTCTGGGGAAGAGCCGGCGGTCAAGGCAGCTCCCATCAGCAGGGATGCGAGGTGAGAGCAGCCGAGGTTTATTTATGTGCTGTTTTTGCCTGTGTTTAAGGCAATCATGGTCTCCCAAAGCAGCTCACAGTCCAGCTTACAGAAACACAGAATGAAAGGCGGGGGAAATGGAAACTGATGGAAATGGAAACAGGAAGAGATGCCCACGAAAGAAGAATGGAGGATGAAACGGATGGAATACGCAGAAATGGACAGATTGACGGGGAGAATTAGGAACCAACGTGACCAGAGATTCTCCGAGGACTGGAAGAAATTTACAGAGTATATCAGAGTGTATCAAAAATTTCTGTGATGAGCAAATAACGTTCGTTGGCTTTCAAGAAGCTCTGTGAAATTACTGTTAGAAATATTGTTTAAAAAATATGATGTGATTAAGAGTATTTGAGTGCAATATAATATTGGGAAATGTGAGACGAGGATAAAAAATAAACGGAAAATTATCAGACAAGCTGAGGGAAGTTCTGAAAAAAGGGGTTTAAGTTAAAAATGGATGTATAATTTTGTAAAAATGTGTTTTATGGAAAATCTAATAAAAAATATTTATTTAAAAAAAAGAATGAAAGGCGGGGGGACAGGTAGAGAAGGGAGTTTAATCAAGGCCAGAACTGTTGGGGCCACCTGACCTTCCAGTGATTTTGTTTGAACAGCAGTTAGCTCTTGTACATTTGGCTGATGAATGGGGTCAGGGTGGCCTTTTCCCCTCCCTCCTGCAGCCCCAGAGTAGCTGTCTGTTGGCACACACTACTCTCTCTGGCAAGGAGGGAGTCAGGGGAGTCTCTTCCCTGCAGCCTTCTTCTTTTCTGGCTGGTGGTTGGGGCTAGGGTGGTCTTCCAGGCAAGAGGGGGAGCAGCCCCTGGCAGTTTGGTTCGCTTAGCCAGTGGCAGAAACCAGAGTTCACTGCCCTTCTTTTCTGCCTTTCCAGCACAACAGTCGGATGCAATTGGCTGTCTTTTGTGTAGCTGTTGCCTAAAGCAAACAAAAGACATGGGGGTCAAGCTTTCGTGACTTATTTGACCTGAACAGATTGTTCAGGGTTTTCATAAGAGCGGGTCGTGGGGCATGTTGAGTTTTAGCCAGTTCTAGTTCTACTCAGAAATGAACGAATATGATGAAATTGGGCCCATTAATATCTGGGAGTGCTCTGAGTAGAACCAGCAGTGGATGCAACCCTTTGCTGCCTGTGGAGGGGATGGAAGAGAAGCAGCAGAGGAGGCAGCCTTTTGCCGTCACCCCATCAAGCTCAGGATTGTGTGCACCCGGCATTAGCCAACGTGGTGCCCTCCAGACGACGTCAGCCCCTTCCAGCTCCCATCAGCCACAGCCAGCATGGCCCAGTGGTCAGAGGTGATGGCAACTTTTGTCCAGTAGCTTCCAAGAGGCTGCCGCAATGACTAACCTCAGCTCTGCACTGACTGGTTGCTGCATTCTGGGCATTCATCCTCAAGCTGCTTGCTTACAAAGCATTGGCTGCAGCCACTGAGCTACTGGAGACAGAGAGGGACCTGTCCAGAACGTGGGAGCGGAGCTTCCTGCTTAACCTTGCAGCCTTCCAGGACAAGTGTGGGAAACCTGTAGCCCTCCAGGTGTTACTGATCTACAACTCCCACCAGCCCCAGCAAGCGCGGCCAGTGGCTACGGATGAGGATGAAAATTACAGCTCAGCAACATCTGGAGGGGCAAAGGTTCCCCCATACCTGTCCTGGAAGGCTTCTCCCATCGTCCAGTCCAGACACTGAGGTCCAGGTCTGAGGGTCTTCTGGCGGTTCCCTCACGGTGAGAAGTGAGGTTACAGGGAACCAGACACAGGGCCTTCTCGGTGGTGGCGCCCGCCCTGCGGAACAGCCTCCCATTAGATGTCAAGGAAATTAAGAACTATGTTTGACTTGCTTGAATGGCATTTGAAGGACGAGGAGGTTAAGTCTGTTATGATTCACTGGGCCAAAGATTTTGGGTATAATATACAGCTGAGTGATTGGGTGAAATTATGGAAAGAAGGTTTAAAAATTACTGCATGCAATGCCCTAAAAGAAAATGTGATGAAAATGATGTATAGGTGGTATATAACACCTGTTAAGTTAGCGAAAATTGGGAAGTTTTTGATGTTTGTTGTGTTATTGTGTTTTTAATATTTTGTTGGGAGCTGCCAACCCAGTCAGATGGGCATTGTTGTATTATTATTATTATTAATTATTATTATTATTATTATTATTATTACCTCTTCAGGCTCAGCCACAGCGATAGCGACAGCGACAACAGTGAGGACTCCTGCCTTCCAAGTCGGGAGCCTCCGCCCAACCAGAAATTACCCCCTTCTAACAATAAGGTAATTGTGCAGCAAAGGCAGTTTGGCTTCCTACTCACCCAGCTGTCTGGAATTTGGCCCAGGTATACTAAAGGAGTGCAAGGCTGGGGTGCAGGGGCGGGGAACACAGTTGTAGGAGTGGCTGTTTTTGTTTCGTAAGCAGCGGAGAAAGTTGAGCAGAGGAAACAGAAGGAGAAAGGACCAAAGGGAGAAAGGTTACACATAGTAATAGCAAGGGAAGATTGGAAGAAGTTCATTTATCGGAGGAAGCAGGGAAGGAGTTGGAGCTCTTTGGTCCTGTCTTCTCAAGGGGACTAAGAACACCTGTGAGGGTAGGCATAGGCAAACTCAGCCCTCCAGGTGTTTTGGGACTACAATTCCCATCATCCCTGACCACTGATCCTGTTAACTAGGGATGATGGGAGTTGTAGTCCCAAAACATCTGGAGGGTCGAGTTTGCCTATGCCTGTGTAAGGGTGTTGAAACAAGGCAGGAACAGAAATCAGGGTGCGTTGCTAGCTTGTTTCAACAAATCGTTTAACTAACCGCAGTTCGGGTTCAGGCATAAGCTGCTGTTAGTTTTAAGGCAGGCAGAGGATGTTCCAAATATCTTCCTTGCAGCCACCCACAAGCCAAAGGCTTGGCCACATAGGTCAGTGCTATGTTTTGGTGGCAGGGTTTGTAAATAGGGGCGCAAGACACCCAAACAATTGATGACCTCCCCTCTCGGCAGAGACAGAGTACAGAACCCTGTAGGAGAAACCACTATCCCCATTTTGCCACCTTCTCCAAACTGGTATCCTCCAGGTATTACTGGACTGCAAATCCCATCATCCCTGCCCAGCGGCCATTCTGGATGCAGCTCTTGGGATTGAAATCTATGGAGGATACTGGGTTCAAGAAGGCTGCTGGTTGGCATAAGGGCATCTGTTGAGATCATAACTGAGTAGAGATTTGAATGAGGACCTTTCCTTGTTTCCTGCTCCTTGCCCCTACTCCCACGCTGAATCGATCTTGCTTGGGGAGCTCTGGCTGGCGGTGGGAAAATTCCTCATGGGGGTGGGGGGCAGAATTGACTCCTCGTTTGTTATAAGAAGGGGAGAGAACCTGTTTCTGTGCCTGGTTTCCAGTTTGAAGGAGCACGGTCTTTGCAGCTTATCGTGGCTCTGCTGCAACGGTTGCCTTTTGTCCCCTCTGAACTGGCTTGTGAGCGCGTTCCCCTTCTTTAACCGCTTTCAGGTAACTGGGAGGAAGAGTCCAGAGTCCTGCAGCAAGCCAGAAAAGATTCTGAAGAAAGGGACCTATGACAAGGTACCTCCATGGAGAGGGGCATTTAAATTGTGGGAGGGAGGGAGGGAAAGAAGGAGAAGCCATCTGTTGGCAGAGGGAGCCCTTTGCCGCTCAGGACAAAGCAAGCCAGCCCTAACAAGGCTCAAGCCACCTCTTTTGAAATGTGCAAAGCTGTCTTCTGCAGAGCTAGGCCAATAGTTCATACCCAATATTGTCTCCTCTGGCAGGAAGCAGCTCCCTGGCTGCCTTTCCTAACCCTGCTAGATTTGAGAGCTCCCAGTACTTTCTCCTCCCACACCCAAGCTTCTCCCTGGGCAGCAGGAAGGGGATATACTGATTCTTTTTTACTTGATTTCGGAGGCGGCCCATTTATTGCCTTTCTGTCATCAGGTGTGGCCAACTCCCAAGAGACTGTGATCAGAGAGTTTAAAATTGGCAGTGATCTACCCCATTTTGGGGGGTTCAGGTCAAAGTTGTTGAGCTTCTTTGGGAGTCAGTGATCTACCACAGACGTCCAGTGATCTACCTCCAGTAGATCACAATCTAGATCTACCTGTTGGACGTGCCTGATCTAGATGGTGGGTACAGGAAATCAGGTTCCTTTTTATTTTTCTCCTTTGAAACAAAAGGAGAGGATCTGGTCTTTTTATAAGGAAACTTCATACAGAGTAGGTGCGTTGCTGCTGCTTTTGTTGTTGCTGCTGTTGCTGGAGCAAAGCTTCAAATAGCCCTGTTGTTCAGCCCTAGCAGCAACACAGGCTCTGCTACCAGAGACGCTTTAATGCAATTGTGGCCCTCCAGACATTGCTGAACAACAACTCCCATCATCCCTGGTCATTGGTCATGTTTGCAGGGACCGGTGGGAGCTGTAGTTCTGCAGCTTCTGGAGACCCAAAGGTTCCCCCATACAGTGGTGCCCCGCAAGACGAATGCCTCGCAAGACGGAAAACCCGCTAAACAAAAGGGTTTTCCGTTTCTGAGTTGCTTCGCAGGACGAATTTCCCTATGGGCTTGCTTCGCAAGACGAAAATGTCTTGCGAGTCTTGAGATTTTTTTTCCGCTTCCCCCCCCCCTTTATCTAAGCCGCTAAGCCTTTAATAGCCTTTTAGCAGCTAATCCGCTAAACTGATAAGCCTTTAATAGCTGCTAAACTGCTAATAGCGCTAATCCGTTAAGCCGCTAATAGGGTTGCTTCGCAAGACGAAAAAACCGCTAGACGAAGACACTCGCGGAACGGATTAATTTCGTCTTGCGAGGCACCACTGTACCTCCTTTAATGGATGCCAGAGATTATACCTGCACTGCTTGTATGCATACAAGACTTGTCTTCCCATTTTCTTTTAGGCTGGTTTTTGCGTTGCCGTTTCCCCTCCAACCCCCAACCCTTTGTACAACTCCACAGTGTGCTCATGTGTAATGCAGGAGTTCTAATTCACTGGGCATCACTCCTAACCCACCCACCCACCATGTCCATTTTTTGCAAAGGAGGACAGAAACCTTCCCCACTGTCCCCCTGAACTGGCAGCAGCGTATTTGCCCTTCAGGCTATTGGGGGGGGGGGAGTGAGCATTAATCAGCTCTTTGTTGGCAAGAGGTCTGAAAACCTCAAGATTCAGAGTTCTCCTTGCTAATGTTCCTTCTTCCCTCTCCCAAGGCCTACACTGATGAGTTGGTGGAACTTCATCGGAGGCTGATGGCTTTACGGGAACGAAATGTGCTTCAGCAGGTAAGGACATGTTAGGTGGCTTTTGGTGTGGGATGCAAGTTGAAGCCAGAGAGGAATGTTAAACGTTCTCTTTTGCCACAGTGCAATGAATGGTGGTGGTGCTCTTGTTGTTTTCAGATTATCTTGTTCAGGCACCTTATGCATATATCCAACTGTAACCTGTAGTTATTGTTATTATTATTATTATTATTATTATTAGTTTTGTGACCTTGCAAATTCAACAGAAGCTGTCCTGGGAGCAAATACGGGTCTCAAAAGTTGGATAGGCTAGCAGTTTGAAAGATAAATACTGAAATGCTTCTCTCCCCCCCCCCCCGCCCTAATAACTACATGTAGGCGAAGGACGGGGAGATTTCTGATGAAGTGATTCTGTGATGTTTTTCCCCTTGAAGTCCTGGGAAGACTTCTTGTGAGTCTTCTTGTTCCTGCCCCCAGGCAGATGTGGGGTCTTCCTTTGCCTTGCCATGGCTGTCTTCACACCTTTCAAATCAGCAATCCCGCTTGAATTACAGTGGTACCTCGGGTTACATACGCTTCAGGTTACAGACTCCGCTAACCCAGAAATAGTACCTCGGGTTAAGAACTTTGCTTCAGGATGAATTTGTGCTCTGGCGGCGCGGCGGCAGCAGGAGGCCCCATTAGCTAAAGTGGTGCTTCAGGTTAAGAACAGTTTCAGGTTAAGTATGGACCTCCGGAACGAATTAAGTACTTAACCCGAGGTACCACTGTACTATTAGCCTTGCCCACAAGTAATGTCTAATGGGGATAAATACATCTCTAGCCAGAAAGTGTTCTGCCAGCAGGACTTAGATAAGAATCTCCAGGCCTGCATCAGGTACCAGTCTTTGATGTCTCCCAATTTGCTATTGCCTTGTTGTTCTGCTGCAATACAGCCAAGGTAGTTTGTGTCCTATGCCACGAAGCAGCCTTTCATGGAGACAAGAGGGTCAGACCAAGGAAGCGGGGGGGGGGGGGGCACTGCACATGGCTTTTTAAAATGGCGCACAAAGTGTGAACGATTGGTCCCTGTCTGAATTTCCGCAGTGGGACAGGCAGTGAGAGAGAGAGCAAGGGCAGAGAACAAACTCTCTGCGTTGCGCTGGCACAGAATATTGGTGTCTCACAGACCTAACATATAGAATAAGAGAACAAGAAGAACATACGTTTAAAGAAGATTGGAAAACATTTATTGAATATATGGAGGGAAATTGTGCACATTTGAAAACGCTGGCAGCATTAAGATAAATTCAACTGTGTAGATAAGTTTTGATGGATGTAATAATGGAATACTGAATGGTTTAGTTTATGTAAAATATGCAGGGATTTATGTTATGTGAAATGAACCGTGGGAAGAGAAGAAGGGAAGTCATTGATATTTTAAGGTGGTTTAAATGACTATTCTAAAATGTAAAACAGAAAATTTAATAAGGGGAAAAAAAGAATATTTGTGTCTCACTCCAATCCTTTTCCTCCCCGGCCCAGATTGTAAATCTCATTGAGGAAACCGGACATTTCAATGTCACCAACACAACCTTCGACTTTGACTTGTTCTCCTTGGACGAAACGACCGTCCGCAAGCTGCAGAGCTACCTGGAGGCTGTGGCTACGTGACCCTTGGCTCCGGAAGCTGGACGCTTTTTTTTGAAACCAGAATCCCCGTCTCTTCGGTACCAGGAAATGGACTCGTGGACCTTGGCCGCCGCCTTATCCTCTCGATTCACCTGAAGCACTGCCTTAGGGATCAGCCACGCTCTAGGAACACGCTGTTGCTGCTGCTGCCGCCGCCGCCGCTTCTGCCGCCGCCACCAGCCACGCTCCTCCTCTTGGGCTTCAGCCGAGCGCTCGCCCTTGGCGGGCCTGTCCTCCTTCGCTTCAGAAGCTTTGCTTGGAACTGGTAGAGTAAAAGCTGCGCTGGTCCTAGCCGCGACACCGCGCTCTCCTTGGTTGTTTGGTTGTTGCTGTTTTTTAATTCCGGCTTTTTAAATTTTAGAACGAGATTCTCTTATGTGTGTGTGTTTTTAAGAAAAAGAATGCACGTTTGAGGCATCCTCTTTTTAAGTTCGGGATAAAACTCAGCTGCCGTTTCTGCGCGGAACCTACGGACGTGAAAACAACCTGGCCTGCAGGCGTCGCGAGGCTTGCCCCCCCCCTTTGCCTCTTCCCGCTGCCTCTCACCCCAGGTCACATGGAGAGACGTTCCGATCAGATCAGGGCAGGCGTTGGTGCAGCCGAATCACACGACTTGCCCAGAGGACAGCCACCCTTGTTGGGGCCAGTGGAGTCTTGTGGGGCGGGTTCTGCGTCCCGGGTGCAGCGGCGCCCGGCCTGAACTTGCTCCTCTGCGTGTGGGACGATTTCCGAAACGTACTTGCGCCCGCTGACGGCGCCTGCCATCTCGCACTTGAGGCTTTTCGATGTGGTGCTGGATCCAGTTCCCCAAACAAGAGCCTTGTTCCTTTTCCCCCTGTTTGATCTGCTTTAACTCTAAGGACTATGTTACTGTACGCTGTCCTGTCCTGTCATTCATATATATGTATATATGAATGACGTATACATATATATATGTCATTTATATATATATATAAGTGTAAGAAGGGCCTAATTGGGTCTTAAGGTCTCAAAAGGGGTTGTGTAGGGGTTTTGCGTGGGGGAGGCATTGATATTTCATTTCTGTTTCCGTTTCGTTTTTTAAAAGTTGCAGTGGCAGATGGGGGGGGGGTAAAGTACAGTTTGACCTGTTTCTTCAACATACCTGTGGGCAGATTTTTATTTTATTTTTTGCATATCAAAACCAAGCAAATATCCTGAAGATCTCTCTGTTTTTTCTCCCTCCGTTCTCCAAAAGGGACCGATCTGTGTTGCGCTTTCTTCTTTTCCTTCTTTGCCATCAGTGTTCAATTAACCTTTTGCCAAAATGCGTTTACCGCCATTGCCCGTTTTGCGGAGAAGCGTTCCCCACCCACCCACACCTCCCCGCCGGTTTCTGTGAAAGCAGTTGCCCCAGGGGTGGGGAAGAGACGAACTAACTCTGAGAGTTTGTCTTTCTCCTCCTCTTTCTTTCAAAACACCTGCACGGTTTCGAAAACAAACTTTGGCAGGTGCTGGACAACACTAATTGGAATATTTGTCAGTATTCCTTGCTTGGCTACGTTTTGGTGCAGGGGGTGTATCCGGTAGGGGGAAGACCCTGAAGTATGCAGAAACTCCCCACCCCCATACGCAAACACACACGGTTTTAGCATTTTAGAGGCGCAGCTTCCCTTCCAAACAAGTCTTAAATCTTTTGCCAAATGTTACAGGACTACTGGTGGTGGTGATGCTGTTTGTGTTGCGGCAGGTGGGATGTGGAATTGGCCAGAAGATTTCGCTTTGAGCTCTCTTAGGAGTCCTAAAATGAGTGCTCGGGGGGGGGGGGGGCTTTGCGGCTTGTGTGTTGAGTCACGCTAGTTGTGTTGGGGGACGGGTGTTTTTTAAACCTGCTAGTCTTAGTCTCTTCTGGGTTCCTTCCCCACTTCCCCCACCCCATGCAAAAGTTACAACTCTTACGTGGCAATAAGCTGATCTGCGTTAGGTCATGTTGACCCCGAATCCTGTTTTGAGCTTTCCTTTTTTAACTTCTCGTCCGTCGTGTGTCTTGTTTGTCTTTATAAAATGCCAACGTCCAGAGCTGCTCTGTTGCAATGACTCAGCTGCGTCTCATTTCTGGCCAGTCGTTCTGAGCCTCAGAATTTGGGGAATTCCAGAGAAGACTCTGCTGTGCCAACAGAAAAGAAATAGAGAATAGTGGGAGAACTTTCTGTGTTTGTGGAGGTGCTTCCACTTTGATGGGGGCGCTGCTAGTGGAGGGAGGGGGCTTGTGAGGCATGAGCCCCTAGTTCTTTCTCAAAAGTTCCCCAAGGGTTTCTGGGTGCCTAATGAATTGGTCTGAAAGGGGTTCCCAGTGTGGCAAAAATTTACTTCTACACCACTCTGTTTGTTACCCAGGTGGGGGGCCTACTCTTAAATAAAACACAGAACCAATTCTTACCACACCGGGCCGGATGATCGAAGAGACTAAACAACTTTAAACGTAACCCTTACCTAGAGACGATTTGAGGTTAATGAATGGGGGACGTAATTGAGGAAGCAAATTCACCTTGCTGGGGGAAATGGAATTGGGGTTAAAGGAATTGAAGAGAGAATGATTTGGGATGGGATGCAATTTAACTGAATTAATTTATCTGGGGCTTGCCTCTAGCTGGCTTGCCTCTAAATTTGTGTGTATACATATGTCTGAGCATGTGTATGTATACGTATAGATATACACCCACCCACATTTGTGCCCCCGGTTTTGTTACAGTGACCTTGCAGCACCCCTGGAGCTCAGCAACGCTGCCTTTCTAGGCTTGGGGTTAGCAGGCAACACGGATGCCGTGAAGCCTCTGGATGAGGCCTGCTTCCAGCCCTGGGTACTGCGAGGCCTCCTCCTTTCCAAAGCAAGAACAGGCATTTCTTGTCAACCCGCCGCACAGCTCTCTCCGGCTGCCCAAACACTCCGCTTTTGCCAGTATCCATTCATTCCAGATGTTGTTGTGTCTTTGCGTTTGGAAGTTGCCTTGAGAACAAAAGTCACCCGAGGGGGGGGGGTGGCGGAGAAGCCTCTTCCCTCCGTGCTTCCTCCTGGATGTTGTCCCCCGCCAGGCAGCTGCGTTCTCGGGCGAGCGAGAAGAGGTGGGGGTCTCTCTTTGGTCAGGGCAGCCTCGCCCGAAACTTAAGTATTAATCGCTCAGGGGGGTGCGGAATGAACATTTGTAAGAAGTTGGGGAGGGTGTTTTCTTCCACTATTAAAAAATGTATTTTATAGGTTTCGTTTTTTTAAAGAACGACCCCCACTTCTTCTCACCCCATTGGTGCCCCTTGTAGCTGTTTTGGTCACCAAAGGACTTCCTTGTGATCTGATTCCCCCCCCCCCTTCCTTTTCTCCCCCACCCGAACCTCCGAACCTCCTCCTCTTTATTTCCAAAAGCCTTGGGGCTTTAAAGGTGGGACAGGAGCCCAAATGTCGGTTGCGCAGACTTGGGGTTTTATGATACTGGTGTTCCATCCTCCTCCTCCTCCTCCATTCCGTTGTAGATTCTTTCTCTTAGAATGGCTGCTGTGTTTGTGGGTCCATTGTGGTGTTCTTGTGTGTGTGTGTGTCTTGAGTGAGAGCGTCCATGGGTAGCTGTAACAGAGATGGGGAGACTGGATGGTTTTACCTATCTCTGACGTCTGATAAATCACCCCAAAGGGAAGCGTAGTGAGGAATGGGGGGGGTCTTTCCAAATGGGTGTCTTCTTTATGATCTTTCTCTCTCTCCTCCCCTTCCTCTTTCGTTCCTTGAAACTGACAGCGCTTTAAGTCTGTTACCTGTCTTTCGGTTTTTGTATTAAAGGGCCTATTTCAGGGGGTGGTTAAAATGGATTGTGTTTTTGGTTGGGCAAACCCGATCTCTCTCTCTCTCTCCGCCTAAATCTTCGTATACTGCTTTTCCTCTTCATTTTGGCCCAATGGTGTTAAGTAGATGTGAGATGTTAGGAGTTTTAAAGCTGTGGGATGGGTGGGGAGGGGGAAGGAAGTGTTTTCAGTAGATGTGGAAATTTTAGAGACTTGAAAGCTATTTCCCCCGTTTGTTTTGTTTTTAAGAGAAATTTGGGGGAAAGCAAAATATATGCAATGCTGCCACTTTAAAAAGAGTCTGGAATGAATTCTATACATCTCGGAGCACAAAATCCTACAGCTATAAGCATGGGCTCTTTCCGTTTTCCATTCAAATAATTATTAAAGATACGTTTCAGTGTTAACAGCTGCACAGGACCTGATTCGGGCATCTAAACGGCTGCTTGTATGATCCCCTGTGGCAGTGTTACAATCTGGAGGTTCTTAAGACATCTGTGCACTGCTAAGATTTAACGGGTAGGTCTGGGGCGATAAAGGGCTCTCTTTTAAAAGCAGAAATGCAACACTGTAGAGTGGCAACTTAAAGGCTTGCTTCAAGGGTCCGCAAACCACTCTGAGGTTTTTACAATCAAGCAGTGCATACAGTTTTATGAAATAAAAAAAAGCGCTGAGCACATGTATAATATTCTGACAAGTGTGGTATGGAAGAAAGGAGGCAGACCCTACAGTCATGCGGAGCTTTGGAGGCGCTCAGGAAATACTGTATTTTTCGCTCTATAGGACGCACCGGACCATAGGAGGGGGTGAACAGGAAAAAAGAAAAAGGAGCCCCTTCCATTTCTCCTCCCGCTTCGCTGAAGGGGTGCTGCGCAGAGAGGGAAAACTGTGCAGCGCCTCTCCAGCGAAGCGAAGCCTGGAGAGCAAGAGGGAAGCGCTCCGGGGGCTTCAGGCGGCTATCCGCAAGCCTTCAGAGCGCAGCGGGAACTCCTGCTGCGCTCCAAAGGCTTGCGGATAGCTGCCTGAAGTCTCCGGAGCGCAGTGGGAGTTCCCGCTGAGCTCCGGGGGCTTCAGGCGGCTTCAGCGAAAGCAACGCAAAGCCTCCGGAGCGCGGGGGGAGCTCTCCCTCTGTGCTTCGGAGGCTTCGCGTTGCTATCGCCGAAGCCAAGGAGCCTGCATTCGCTCCATAAGACGCACACACATTTCCCCTTAATTTTTGGAGGGGGAAAAGTGCGTCTTATAGAGCGAAAAATACGGTAGATGAAGTTTGGCCTTTGAGACTCTCTGCCATGTCAAATGAGATCCCGGCCTTCTGTGATCTGGGGGGGGAGCAACCTGGCCTTATGTCAGGCCCCAGTAGCTGTGCCATTTCAGCTGGCTGCCTCCCAAGGCTAACTGATGAAATTGGTGGGCTGTTCTCGCAGCTTGGCTTCATCTACCAGATTGTTTTTTTAAGCCTGGTCTCTTTTTTGCCACTTAGCAAATAGGATTGAAGATGAAAATAGGAACAAACTGACGGTGCAATTCAGCCAGAATGCAAGTTCTGCTTGAGCTGAGGAACAGTAGAAATGGAAGAAATGTTTTGTTTCTAGTGGGGAACACCCTTTTTAATGCAACAAATGCTAATTTTAGCTATTGCTCAGAACAAATATTTCAAAAGTGTTTGGTTCCCTCCCCCCCATTTCCCCCCAGACTTCCCCTTTTTAAATGTGCCAGGCAGGAGGAAAGATTTGTGCTCCAAATTCATTTGGGTTTCCCCGCAGGCCTGGTGTCCATTCCTGGTACTCAGCAGAGATTTAGAGAGCTTCCATCTGCTGTACCCATGACTTACAGGAAGCGTTTTAGCCACAAGAACCTTGGAACCAGCTGAGAGAGACGCAGCTGTTCCGTTACCCATTTCAGCTGCTCTGTCCTCTCCCCCCAGCTGTTGGGAAGAGATGAGGGTCTGAGTTCATCGCTCAAAGTGGGACCCGTCTCCAAAGAAAAGTTCTGCCCTCCGTGAAGTTTGCCCCCCACCCCCATGTTCTGTCCAAACAGCAAGCCAAAAGTGCTCTCCAGTCTGTTTCCACTTTGGTGATTTTTTTGAAACACTGCTGCTACTTCAACAGGGGAGTTGCGCCCACCCATGGAAAGAAATAGGATTTTTAAAGTGTTTTTAATTATGGCCAGATCTGCGCTCCCCGGGCGCAATCGGGAGATGCTTCTGGTCTTCGAAGCATCCTAGGAAGATCTGTCCGTCGTGTTAAAAGTTGTGTGTCCACTGCCATTTCGTGCTAGAGCAGAACTGAGTTTGAAAGGTGCTGTCGGTTCCGGAATTAATCTTCCTGAGAATCTCAGGACTTTCCTTTTTTCCAAAAAAAAGAGAAGAAATTGAAATCGGCAAGATTCCAGTTCGTATTCTTACCAGTAGGTGGTGAGGGCTAGCTAAGGTTTCCTGTGGTTACGGGAGGGGCTTTTCATATCTCTTTGCCACCCCCCATGATTAGCAATACCAGAAGAATATGCAAATTGATTAAGAAAAATTGCATATAACATATACAGGTTGCAGTATTCAGATTCCCCCTCCCTTTTTATTGTAAAGTACACATATCCCTAACCATGCTCCTTGAATAGTCATAACACATATCTAATTTTAATTGGCTGCGGGTGGGGGTGTCATGAGTGTGTAAAGGCCTTGAGAACAAAACAAAAAAAAAGAGGTGGGAGTTTTGCACTCTTGAAGGAAGCGACTGAGTACTTGATCCTCTTGCTGGTGTGTAATTTTTTTAAGGCTGTCTTCTGCTGGAAGCAAAGGTATTAAATACCTGGTCTATGTACAGAGGATATTAAAAGTACTTTGGGGCTGGGGGCGGGGCAGGGAAGGGAAGGGGATTTCTTTGCTCTGGTGTAATAAATAAACCTAGCCCATTATTCCGAAATGAAACCTGGAAAGGCGGGAGGGGTGGTGGGGGGGAATGTTTGTAATAAGTTAAGGGATTGGGTTTTTTTTGTCCTGACTTTTACGCCTTTTTTTTTGTTAAATTTGTGAAATTTATGGAGGAGTTTTATAGGAAAAAGAAAACATGAAATAAAGGTGAGAGAGTCACAAGCGGCGGCATTTTTTGTGATGTTTCTCTTGATGGTCTCCATTTCCACCACCACCACCTAGAGCAGGGGTCAGCAAACTTTTTCAGCAGGGCCCCTCAGACCTTGTGGGGGGCTGGACTATATTTTGAAGCGGGGGGAAATGAACAAATTCCTATGCCCCACAAATAACCCAGAGATGCAAGCACATATTCTACTCCTGTAAAAACACGCTGATTCCCGGACTGTCTGCGGGCCAGATTTAGAAGGCGATTGGGCCGGATCTGGCCCCCGGGCCTTAGTTTGCCTACCCGTGCCCTAGAGCTTCAGCTGAAGCCTGTTTCCTTTGGACTCTCCTTCCCCCATAAGTTCCCACCCATCTCTTCCTGTGGGTTCCAAATTTCTTGGAGTACATTTTTCTTAGAAATGTTACGAAGGTGGCCACATCTGAAAACCACCTCTGCCACCATCCTTTCTCTCTCCTACTCTCTACACAAACACACACGCTGCCCCGGAAAAATGCCAGTAGGTCTGTGGCATTGTGGAGGATGCAAAACCCGAAAAGGGGTGGGGTAGGGGGAACTATGCTTCCTGCCTCTACTAACAACGTCCCATAACTTGGAACGGAAGGCAGCCATCTTGGTTGTGTGAGAAATGGGACCTAAGCAGAGCCCAGGCAGAACGTACAGTAGCTGGCGCTCAAGCGGTGGTTTCTCGACCACCCTCTACGGAATGGAATACAGCGGTAGACTCCCTTGATATATGGAGGTTCCATTTCATAAATCAGATACAGCAGAGTGATATCAAGACCACCATAGGAGAGAGAATATATATATATATATATATATATATATATATATATATATATAGTATACAAACACACACACACAAACACACAGAGAGATTTTGTGCCTTTTAAGTTAAGAGCATGACAAACTCCATGAACAATCGGAGATAGTTGAAAGATACAGATAATTGTGACTCACCTCGTCTTCCCTGTAACAGTTGTGCCCTGGTTTTGAACTGCATCTTAGCGTTTGACTCTGCCATTAAAACTTAAGCATAAAATTCATCTGAGTTCCCGCCCATGAGGCAAGGTGAGGCAACTGGCTCGGGCGGCAGGATTCAATGGGGCAGCAGATTTTATTTGTTTTTATTGAACTTGTATACCGCCCTGTACCCGTAGATTTCAGGGCAGTTCACAGCACAGAAAAATCAAGTTGCAGAACAGTTTGTGGGAATATTCTTCCCAAATTTCCCAACTGTTTTTTGTTTTTTTTAAATAGAGAGGTACAATTGCCTTGAAGTTTCAAAATGAAGATGGAAAAGAAAATAAACCTCCAGCAAGTCTTAATGGTTTATAAACTGGTAACGTTGTGGCTGCATTTATCCTTTCCTTTAAGGAAAGGCCGCCCAAAGACATATTACTTATAAATGCTAAAATCCCAAAGCCTATCTCCCCACACCCACCTGGCTGGGGCTTGCAGTGCAGCCCCCAAATACACATCATCAATGTCATGCATTTAATACACATTTTTATTTTTTTGTAATTTTAATTTAATTTTTCAAACGTTTTCACTATAACCTTCACATTGTTTCATGAGTTGACTTCCCACCTCAACTTCCAAAGTGTTTCTACTCAAACCTTTTCTCATTTAATACACATTTAAAGCACACTGGGCTCCCCCCCCCCCCAAAGGATCTTGGCTATTTTAGTTTGCAGAAAATGCTGGGAATTGTAGTTCCGTGAGGGGTAAACAGTTCTCGAGACGGGGACAAAAACCATGTGCTTTGAAACTGTTATATGTGCAATGTGGATGCAATTGCCCACAGCTGTGAGACCTGGGCCATAATAATAATAATTTATACCCCGCCCGCCCCAGCCAAGGCCGGGCTCAGGGCGGCTAACAAGCAATAATAAAAACAAGTTGAATGAATACAACTTAAAAACAAGATTAAAATACGACATTAAAATATTGAAACATTAAAATATTAAAATGTAGCCTCATCGCAGGAGGAGAAGGAAAGGAAAAAAGAAAGAGAGGGAGGGAATCAAATTGGCTCCAAGCCAAAGGCCAGGCGGAACAACTCTGTCTTACAGGCCCTGCGGAAAGAAATCAGATCCTGCAGGGCCCTGGTCTCATGAGGCAGAGCGTTCCACCAGGCGGGAACCAGTGTTGAAAAGGCCCTGGCTCTGGTTGAGGCTAATCTGACTTCCTTAGGGCCCGGGACCACTAGGGTGTTGCTATTTATGGACCTTGAGGCTCTCCGTGGGGCATACCGGGAGAGGTGGTCCCGTAGGTATGAGGGTCCTAGGCCGTGAAGGGCTTTAAAGGTCAAAAGCAGCACCTTGAACCTGACCCTGTACTCCACTGGGAGCCAGTGCAGCTGGAAAAGCACTGGGTGAATATGCTCCCATGGCAGAGACCCCGTGAGGAGCCTCGCTGCAGAATTCTGCACCCACTGGAGTTTCTGGGACAGCTTCAAGGGCAGCCCCGCGTAGAGCGAATTACAGTAGTCAAGCCTGGAGGTGACCGTCGCATGGATCACAGAAGAGTTTGGACAGGAAGACCAAAACAACCAGCCAGGCAACCTTCAATGAAGATTTCCTCATCTTCTACAGTCGGCTGGCGATTCCCATAAGCCTGCCTGGCTAAGCCAATGAGCCACAAGGGGCTCATTTTGCTCCAACTAATCCACAAAGTAGCCTGTTAATAATGATAGCCAAAGTCTCTGCTCTTTAAAACAGCAACATTGTTAAATATTTTTAAATAACAATTGCAAAATGGTTTTGGTTTTTTTTCATAATAAACCATTTAGTAAGGGCTTTGTTTTTAAAAGCAGCATGTGATTAAATACAGGGCAATAAATGTTTCCCAGAGAAAACTCCCATCATATAATTATATTGCCCTTGCATTTCAGGAATCACAACAGGATACAACAGGGACTCTTACCGTGCCCATAACATTATTTTTCTTGGGGGAGTGTGGGTTGCCTATTACTGTACGATCATTTCGCTGGAAGATGACAGGTATTTCTGTGGAAAATAATCATCATAACAGGTGCCATCTCCCACCTTAAACAATCGTTTGAATACGGATATCATATAGTAAATGAGACCATGGGCATAGCCAGGAATTTTGTGGGAGAGGGGGGAGGCAGAACCGACGTGACTGGTCAGTTAAGTATTTAAATATTAAGTATTTCTATTGTCCCCCCCCCCCTACGCCCAAGGATGAGACCATTTAGCATTTATCTTGGAGGGCGGGTGGGGAGGAACTGCGCTGCATTTGGAAAAAACCAAATAAAACTTCAGCTGCTGCTGCTTTCGTTTGTTTTGTAGTTATTTCCGGGCGTTTTGTTAAAGAGTCTTGTAATAATAATAATTAATAATAATAAAAAAATATTTATACCCCGCCCTCCCCAGCCAAGACCGGACTCAGGGCGGCTAACAACCAATAATAAAAACCAGTTGATTAAAATACAACTTAAAGAAAGACCTCACAAAAGAGACAACTTGTAGCATACAGGGAAGCTTTCTATGTTTTATGCAGTATGTATTTTAATATTTTGTTGGAAGCTGCCCAGAGTGGCTGGGGAAGCCCAGCCAGATGGGCGGGGTATTAATTAATTAATAATAATAATAATAATTGGCTTGCAGCAACCACTGCCGCCGCATCACGCGGCCAGCAGTTCCGCGGGCCACTCGCCTTATACTTAAAACTGGTCTCCCGCCTCCGGTTTTCATCTCCCTTCATTCCCCCGCCCCCCTGGTCCAGGAGCCACAATCCAGAGACACGTGGCGGCGGGCTTCCCATTCATTCGCCGCCAGCCGCTCGCTCGCCCATTCATTCATTCATTCATTCAGCTAACCGGGGAGGTCAATGACCGGGGGTTACTCGGCAGCGATACATAAAGACGCGCTCGCGCGTGCGCAGAAGGAGGGCGTGGCCGCCGGCTGGTGAATGAAGCGCAGCTGAGCCTTTCGCCCGCTCCCAAGATGGCGCCGCGTGCCTCGCGCGCCCGTCCTCCAGCCAATGGCAAAGGCGGAGACAGATGTGGAGCGGGCGGGGAGGCCACGCCCCCGTTTTACAGGCCACGCCTCCAGCCTTTAAAAGGGACCGCGCACGCCGCTTGTTCTGCGGCAGAAGCTATTCTCAACACGGCAGGTAAGAGAGGTAGGGAGATTTAGCTCAGTTTTTCCTCCTTTTTTGCGGGTGGGGGAGGTTTGTGGAGTGGAATGCGTCCTTTTGGGAGGTGGGGACACTTTGTGTGCTTCATTTGCCTCTATGGGAGGCGGGGTTAAAAATACAGACCAATTCAATTAATAATCATAAATGTTTGGGAGGAAATAAGACGGTAAAGAACAAATAAATTAAATATTGATGTATGTAATTTTTATTTCGTAATTGTATTTAGTGGTAGTATGGCTGTATTGTTTTTTGTAGAATAAAATCATTCAATAAACATTATTTAGAAAATAATAATCATAAATATGAATGGCTGCAATTCAGCTTTATTGTACATTCCTTGATACTTGAGGAAGCTGCCCTGGGGTTTTATTGTAGGGGAAAGAGGGTTTTAAAACATGTCGTTCCCCCCCCCTCAACTTTTGGTTAATTATAAACCGTTTTTTAAAATTGGCGTTTTAATATTAACCCGCCCTTGGACCTTAGGTGTGAAGCTATATGAGTTAATGATATATAGGATAACATAGCTGCTTCTGGTAGTGGTAGTAAAAATGAAGAGCACATTGCATTTAAATTGGGTGCATGTGAGGCTTGGGTTGCCTGGGGGCTCTTCCTTTTAAACTAGTTTCTGGGCGGGGAGGGGGGCTGTGTACCGTGGTTTACAGCTACTTTTTTCAAGAGCTCCAGGATTTTTTTGGGGAGGTGGGCTTGAAAAACCCCTCATTGAGGAAACAGGCTTGTAGGGGCTGCGCCTGTTCCGTAAGGGTCCCTAATAGAGAAAAGGAAAAGGAGTCCACACAGTTCTAGTATTACTTTGGGTGGGCAGGTTTTTGTGGGTGGGGGGTGAGTTGAAGCTTTGTGAGAAATGGGTGGGAAGGGGGGTGGCTGGTGGCAGATGTTCAGCCCTGATAGACATTTGTACCCTAAAAGCTTAAAGAAAAGAGGAAAAAACAGCTGGAAATTGAACTGTAAGCAGCTGCAGGGAATTAAATAATGCCCTGAAATGTGTTCAGGTTTGCAGGAGTTCAGCAACGTGGGCT